CCCCAAAACCCCAAAACCCCAAAACCCCAAAACCCCTGAACTCATGAATTTTTGAATAAGATTCTCAAGTAATTAGCAAGTATGGAGATACATATCTATCTGAGTAATTTAGATATTTTTCTTCATTACTAAAGGATAGTTTTCATAGTCCAGACCAGCGATTGGCTTGACACCCAAGTAATCTGCCAAGATTGATTCGGCAGTACAGAAGGCTCCTTCAACCCATCCTTGATCTTCAGAGTAAGCTTCTCCTGCAATGTAAATTGGGGCATCCTGGAAATTTTCTGTGTAGTTCTTGTCCTTAATAAATCCAGAAGGCTTTCTGATTCCTTCCTGAACTTCCACTATATCGAAATGAGGTTTCCACCCATGGTAGCCACCACCGAATGGATCAACAGACCAGTCCATAACTACAGTTTCACATGGATCTGGAACCTCGCTCATGTCTATTCCATGTAACTCAGCTATGAGATTTCTCAGCATTTTCTTATAAGCTGGATTATTTTCACAGTCAATGTATTGGCATCCATGGCTTCCAAGATCATCTCCATGTCCAGTCACCTCTCTGTCCTTAGTGAATCTGAGCTGATGCCAGAAGTAGGGGTTAACCATGTCATCATAGCTAAGAAGCATTGCATATCTTTTCTGGCCTCCAGGCAATGCATTATCGCCAAAGTAGTAAGTCTGTCTTAGAGGTAAATCTGTGATGGTTGGACCTGGCTGTTTATTAGGAATAATATCCAACTTCAGGTTTGGATCGTTGTTGCCTCTGATATTTTCATACCAAGGCTCATCAAAGTATGCTCCAATCTTGAAAGATGGCTGAGGTCCAACCGACTTGAGTCTCAACTGAACTTCGTCGTCATTGAGGATATAATATCTTTCCAAAGTGTTGCTATCATCAATCGTCGTAGATGCAATCTTTTCTAATGAATGACGAGGCATACATAAGAATGCATGATCAGAGCTGTGCTCTCCCCCAGATGGAATCCAAGAGTTTCCGTGTTCTCCAAGAGTAAAACCAACTTTTGTAGAAGTACCATCTTTAGCCTTTTGAGCATACACCGAGGTAACCTTCTTTCCTGAATGATAGTTGAAGTTAATTCCATTAGCAATACAATTTTCTTCGATGGTTTTAAACATCTTATCAAACAAAATAGAAAATCCTCCTTTAATTGAATGATATGTTGGGCCTCCAGGAACAAATTCATTGTTTTGAATTATAGCCGAAGCAGCGCTAAGGTTGATCAAAGTGGAGTTGTATCCAGCAGTCTTCAATAAGTAGTCGTATCCAACCCCTCCAATGTTGGGCTCAGCAACTACCATATTCCAGAAGCCGATATTCTTTAGCTTAGTTCCATCTTCCCAGACTTGTTCACGGCCGTCACTTCCTAAGAAATCATAGGTAGCTTCATTGTAGAACTTTGCTCTTCTACTTCTTGTCAAGTATCCATCTACAGCTTCATCTGGATTATTCTCAAAGTACTTGTTGATAGTCCTAACGAAGATATTTTGATAAGCATTATTCCAATAAGCTCCTTGTTCGGTGTCATATCCGACCCATTGATGCTTCCCATTGATATACTTCAATGGCTTAGAAGTTGTTTCGAAAATATCCCCTTTTAGGTCATAGTTATTGATCAGCTGAGTCACTAGCCTATGACCCGAATCCTGTCCATCATAGTTATACTCTAAGTATCTCATACCGCCCATTTCAGCATGAGTGTTGTTCTTGTAATCAGCCCAGTTTGCATTGTCGCCCTTCTGACCATAGAAGTAAGTATTAATTCTTCCTCCTGGAACTCTATCTCCTTTTCTATATTCTTGTTCCAAGGCTTCGCTGAATGCGTATCTTGTGGGATCATAAATATCAATTGTATCGCCAGGTTTAGGGAGGTGGGCAGCATTCCCAGCTGCAGCAGCTGCACCTTCACTAAGTCTGAGTGCTGTCCAGAGGCCAGAAGCCCCTGCCCCAAAGATACTATAAGTCTTTGAAAAAGCTCTTTTATGAATGTTAGTTAACATATTCGTCAAATTTTAATTAGGTATATTTTGTTCAAATATATACGCTTTACTAGGGGTTTTGGGGTTTTGGGGTTTTGGGGG